AGCAACAATCCCATGGGTGAGATTCTACCGGTTTGGCCGAACCGGTAGCTTCGACCATCAACTGGGAGCGAACCGGTTTGCTTTGATGATGAAGTGGGATCCTGCCTTTGCGCTTAACTCACCTATATCTTGTCATGTGGCAAAGCAGATGGCTGCACTTCAGCTGTTTTCCTCATCAGCAGTAATGCAGAAGGTACTTTTTCTTAAAACAGCGTGCATGCGCAATCACCAAACCAGTTGTTAAACCGGTCAGATCCCACCACTGAACAATCCCAAATGTTCCCCAAGACTCAGCATCAATCTGAGAACCTCATGTGAAGTTATTCACTGGGCAAAACCTAGAAGTTTCCAATCTTACTTCTAAGTGAATTCTGCTGCGGGAACCATATTACATTTCAAAACAACTTCAAGGGGTGCTTAGTTTGAAGTATAATGAAACATCCCTCTAATGCTTTGTGTAAGTCTGGCAAGAACCTTTTATGAGAACATATATAAATTTGCGGATCTTATACATACAAAAGACTTCTTTTATTTTATGCACCCATAATGGCTTTCATTTTATGCTGGAAAACCAGAATGTGGAGATGAATCCCCAAATCCTATAGGAAATGAATGAATTCAGGTAGCAAGAATTTTTTTTTAGTTGTTCCTACATTGTTCCCCTCATGAAAAAAGCTTAGATCACTGAAATAATTTAATACAGTCATAGCAAACAGCAGAGCAAAAACTAGACTATTCCTATTCATGGTTATTATTTGCAAAACTGTAATTTCCTGTTCCTAAATGAGGCTGATGGGTGCTGTGAAAAGAAAAACTGGTAAACAGCATGATGAGAAGCTGCAAGAAGCAAAATATGACTTTAATCTGGATAAGTCAGAATTTTAAGTTCTTCCAACTTTCTCTATTTCACATGGATTTTGGTGGGAAGTTAATAGGAAGCAGCAGCAGAAAAACAAACAAGTAAGATTAGAAATAGAAGACAGAAATGTCTGGATTTCTCTAAAATTCTTTGGGTAAGAATTAATAGCAAGTGTATAAAATATTTTAAGTCCTCAATTCTAAATTATTTCTAAATTATTATACTTCTTTTAAATATGTTTATATTGTGTGAAGATTAGATCTGCAAAGATCCTTCAAAAATTTGTTCTAGATGTAGTTCCTAAAAATCTTTATTGTTATTGCTGTTTTAGTAGCAGGCATATACATAATAAACATTAGCTGCCCAGAATCACTTGGCTGAATTAGGCAGCTATAGAAATTGAATGAATAAATAAATACTTTAAGGATAACATATTCTAGACAGCTGAATGGTACTGCAGGGACCTTTGACTTTTTCTGATACCTGTTATTATTCCGCATCCTTAATTTCCTTTGGGGAATTGGGGGCTCTACTACATCAGTCAGCAACAGGGAAGTAGCTACACGAAATGGTAGGAAAATAAATTCTTTGAAATATGAGCTAGAAGATGACAAGAAATAGCACTTAACACAAGTAGAATTAATGGTGTTCATCATGTCCATAGCAAAAGGTACATTAATTGCCATTAAAGCTGAAAATATTCAGTAATTATTTCAGAAAATGCTCAGGGTTCTGATTTTAGCATTATACAGAACTGTAATGAAAATATCTACTTGAATACTCATCCTTTCCAAACATCTTGTACATCATAAGTTAGTTTCAGAATGTTTGACATTTAATAATAAATTAGTAATTACAGATGAAGACTCAAAGTGAACTTTAGTATAGCTGCAGACTCAAAATGAAATGTATTATAAGAAAATAAATTATCTTAACCAATTATTATGTTGATTTATTCTTATTCAGTATAATTGAAAATGAACTTAGAATCTACTGTTTTTCTCACTATGGTTCCCTAGTTTGGTGTAATGGTTAAGATACCAAGCTAGAAACAGGGAAATTGTGAGTTCTAGTCCCATTTTAGCACAAAGTATCTGGTTGTCTTTGGATCAGTCATTCTCTCTCAGCCCTCAGGAGGAAGCAACAGAAAACCACTTGCCAAGAAAACTACAGGAACAGTACCAGGAATCAACACTGACTCGAAAGGACAAGCAAACAAACAAAAATCAGCACTATATACAAAGCCACATTTCTAATAGCAAAGCATCCTGAGCTCTGTGCCTGAAGGGATGAATGCCACATTCGCATTCCCTCACATTATTTTTTATCTTATTTCAGTTTTATAACAACTGGCTTAATAAAGTGCATAGCTAAATGTCTATGGAGATTGTCAGTCATTCAGATCATGGTTGTCTCAAAGGAACTTTTTCAAGAAGCAACTGGACTTTCTGGTTTTTCTTTGAAGATGTTTCGCTTCTCATCCAAGAAGCTACGTGTGTTCAAAGGAAAAAAAAACAGAAAGTCCAGTTGCCTCTTGAAAAAGTTCCTTTGGGACAACTGGTTTAATATTTGAGAACTTTAGAAAATTCTTATTGAAGAAGGGTGAAGAGAATTCTTGCCTTTTTCCTATAAGAAATAGGCTACGACAGCTGCTTCAAAGTGTCATCCACATGCATTTGCACATACAAACCTGACAGCTTTATTCATACCTTTCCTATCCTTCTGTCAGAAAATCAATATCTGAGTGAACATGTTTACATCAGCTACTGAAAAATGTAAGATGGTTAAGATTCTGAACATATCCTTGACTGTAATCATTAGACATATTTTTCTTGGTTCTGCTAATCAAAATTCAAAATCACTACACAGTACATGAAATGGAAATAAGAGTCTAATTGTATTAGCAAAGGCATTACAATGTAATTTTCATAAATAAGAGTTTGCCTTGATTTATACCTAGTTTCACTGAACCTTCTTTATCCACTGACTGACTAGAATGATAGGTTTAGCATGAACTACACCTATTAAATTGCAGCTATTACATCACGGCTTGCCATTTGAGACTGCTGTCTACTAGGAGCAGAGTGTGCAACTCTTTAATGTCATTGTCACATAATTGTAATTGTCACATAATCCTGGGGTAAGATTGTCTATTGTGAAAAGTTGCAGACCAGGATTTTATAAATTAAGACGTATATAACTACGAGGTATAAATGAAGTATAATTTAAAAGCGGACCTGAAAGACTGCACATCCTTACTGCATGTTGAAAATATATTGCGGGCTGTTGCAATTCGACAATTGGCAAAATGCTCATTATAATCATTTTAAAAAAAAAGCCGGTGACCCAAAATGATATCTGCAAACCTTCATCCCTTTGCCTGTGGAGGTGCCATACCAAAGCTTTCACCCTTCTCCGATTCGCGTCTAGGCTGCGATTTCCTGGTAGTCTCACATCGACCCCACAGCCCCGAATAAGTTGGCAAAATGCTGCCGCTTGTTAAACCGGTGAGTATTACCACTTAATAAAAAGGCTGGGATTGTAACTACAATGTACCACTCTGGGTGAGGCTGGACCAAAAACACTTTTCGCTGAAAGTTGAAAATAAGTTGAAAATTTGAAGCATTGAAAGTTGAAAATGCCTAACGTCCTTGTCCTACTGTCCCCATTTATTTGTACCCATTCCCCGTGTTCTTATTCATGTTTATTCTTATCCCTATTATCTTATACATGAGTGGCAAGCTAAATAAATAAATAAAAATAAATAAGATTCAAGCGCATAAAGAGTACGATTTGGTGAACAACTCCCCCCACCCCACATCTCCTTGCTGAGCAAATCCCGACCGCCGCTAGAGGGCAGCAACGCCTCTACATCGCGGATCATTCAGCCGCGTTCTAAATACTGAAGACGCGCTGGCCAGGGAATTCTGGGAACTGAAGTCCACACATCCTTAAAGTTCCGGAGATTCAGAAACGCTGTTCTTTTATAATGCCCACTGAGCGGCGTTTGCGCCTGCGCGCCAGGCTTTGCTTTCCGAACGGAAGTTAATAATCTTGTGTCAGACCGGCTTGAGTCGGTGACCGGTTTTGCTTCCGGAGGTCATTGCGTCCGCCGACTGACAAGAGAGTCTTAACGAACCGCGCCTCGGTGACGGGTTTACAATGAGCTATGAGAACCGCCGGGCTTGGGGCCGCAGGGGCGGGCCCCGCGCTTCACAGCCGTCGTCCTCTTCTTCTTCTTCCAGCGGGGGCGGAGGGGGCGGCGGCGGCCGGGGCCGACCTCCTCCTCACCTGAAGGGCCGCGAGATTGGCCTGTGGTACGCACGGAGACAAGGCGAGAGAAGCAAAGAAGCCGAGAGACAGCAGGTGGGTGATGGGAAAAGAAGAGAAGGAGAGCTCGGTTCTCCCTCAGTTGGCGATGCGGGGTATGCCTTCGCCTCAATTAAGGCCGTTTTCCTTGATAGACTGCGGAGCCTTGAAAGTACGGCCAGGAGTTCGACTGAGGGGGCTAGGGAGTTGCTGCTATAGAAATGACGGTGAAGTATGTGTTGAACGTGGGAGACTCTTCAATTTATCTCTGGCCTTTGAGGTTCAGATATTCTATGAAAAGGTAAGAGAGAAAAAGCTCTTACCTGTTTTCCATCTTCAAATCAGGTTATTAGAATCATAGACCAACATAGTATACACACACACACACACACACACACACACACACACACACACACACAGAGAGAGAGAGAGAGAGAGAGAGAGAGAGAGAGAGAGAGAGAGAGAGTCATTA